CATAGATTATGTGCCTTTTATAGAGCCTATTACATAACAGATCATGATGGGTCATCATGTCAAGGATGGAAGGATTAAAAGAAGAGGTACTTTTCACATTCAGATCCTGATTTTTAAAAGGTAATTCTGTGTGTAAGAAGGAATCTTTTTTTCTTTCCTTGGCTTAGAAAAATTCTGCCTAGCACACGCACGAAAGAATGAACCTTCAGGCAAAAAATCAAAGAATGCAGAATATCCTTTTCTCCACTTCTGTAAGACTTTTCTGTAGATGCACGAAAGCTCTCAGAGACTAATGACAAGTTTATATGGCAATAGGGATTCCAGTCTTATGCAGAGGGCTTAAGGAAAACAACATCAGGCTTTGTTTTAACATGCATCTCCTGGTAGTAAACTGGCTAGGAGTATTCTGAGAAGACTTTTGTCTAATCAAACTGTTAATACATCATGTCATGAGATTAGGTTAACTATTAGTTCCCCTTTTCCCCAGAACTGCATACAAAGCTTTGTCATGAGCCCAGAACAGACTGCGCCAGAGACTACGTACACACATACCAGATATCACCATAGACCCTGGGGTGGACTATAGGGATGCTGGAGATGGGAAATCAAGAGTAAGAAGGATTATCTCCAGAGCCTAGGCCACTGGGAAAGGAAAAGAGTACTGTGTGGCCTTTGGACCTTGCTTCCACCCCCTCACCAGCATCCAGCACTCAGTGGGAACCTGCTGGATACCACTATACCATGGGATGCAGCAACCAAAATGCTCTTGATCAGGGTGTCTGAGGCTGCCACCATTGCTTCTGGATCAGTACAGCAAACTAGTCTCAGCAAATCACACACTTCTAGTCCCAAGAGCAAATTGTGTGTTTCAGAATTGCTTCAAATCAAACCAATACACTCAACTCACTCCAAATAATGGCTTGATCCAGGCAATACTCCCTGGAATAGCAGAAAATGTGGATGTTCTGTCATTCAGTTCAGCACTTCACAAAAAAGTGCAGGCACATATCCTATTTGGTCCTGAAATTTTAGACTTTCAACAATAAATATGAAAATATTTCACATATTCTCACCACCTGAGAAAAACCAGCAGCCACTCTAGTTGTTTATATAATTTATTAATAGTGTACATATTTTTATATAGTGCATTATAATACTGACTGCTATAATCTTTATAAATGCTGAGTTAACTATTTTTTAAAATTCTCACAACAAAAATAATCGAATATCATGCCAACATTTTGTAACAAATTCTCACATTAAATCCATTTGGATTTCATGACATATTTATCTGTACAATGGACCCCATATCACAGAGCATTCACAGTGCATAAGGTCACAGTCATTGAAAAAATAAATAACATGAGAGATTTCTGTTATTTACAGTTTACAAACCCATCCCTTTCTGTTTTCAAAGTAAGCAGTTCTAGAAAGTTTTAATAATATTTAAAGAGGTATTGCACCTCCTAAGGGTGCACTGCAAATGCCTGCAAGTATGAAACAGGAAATTTTAGAAGGTTCAGAAGTTATTTTAGGGATCAGAAACGATTTCAAATACTTTCTTGCAATGGAGGAGAAAGTGTGAGCCAAATTCTCTGCTCAGTTCTACTGCTATAAATTTGTGCCAGCTACCAGGGTGTTAATGAGCACTGGAATGATTCCCAAGAACGTGAAGGCAAGAATTTGGTCATAACTTTGCTGCTGTTACAGCCATTTGATGGTTACAGCCAGATGCTGCTGGGTAAGCAGATTTACAAGTGTTCTTTGCATAAATGATACATGAATGAAGGCCATAATCTCACTGTACAAACGCTCTAAAAGGAAGCATCTCAGTTGATATTAATCTTTCTAGAGACTATACCTGTCTGGCTTTCAGATATCCTGATACCTGTAGAATTTATCACCATGCCTAGTGCTATAAATAAATCTTTTTATTTGTCTTTCAAGTTTATCAAGACCATCTCTGTGATAGGATTTAGGGGTTACAGCTGAGTGACAGGTTAGTGGTTGGACTTAATGATCTTAGAGGTCTCTTCCAACCTTGATGATTCTATGGCAATGATTGCCTACATTCTTTGTGCAAGTAAAAAAGAAAAATAAATGGGATTAAATTCAAACTGGCAATTCTTGTAGGAAAATATCGAAATGGCATTAGTTTCCCATAATCATTCATTTCTTTCAGACAGTGCACTGTATGTCAGGAGTGT